GGGGGGTGTATGATAGCAGAGGACAGGAAGGAGATTGATTGACTAACAAAAGGGGCAAAAGGTTGAGGACCAAATGTCGCGGCTAATCGGGCAATTACACGCCCGCGCTTGCGGAATAGACCCGATGATGATGACTGCCCACAAAAAGAGGCCGGGGTAAACGAAAACGACAAATGTAGGCCGGCGGCGCAGGGACAAGGCCAAGATCAGGCATGCGACGGGGAAAGGCGGGAGGTTGGAGGAGGAGAAAGAAAAACAAGGTGGAAAATAGGAACATCCGACCTGCGCGTGCTTTGGGTTACAAAGCCCAGTAGGTGCAACGCCAAATGCGCAAGAAAGCGGACAAACCAAGACGTCGCATTTCTGGATCGGACGTCTCACGAGAGTGAGTGAGGGGGCGCGCGTCGGCTGTCGAGGTGCAGGTGCAGGGTGCAGGTGGGAAATGTAATAAAAGGACCATGCATCTTTGATTTTGGGTGCGTTGCGCATTTTGCATGTCGTGTAACCACCACTACCACCACCACCACCACCACCACCGACATCCCCCTTTTTCTTTCACCCGCCCTCACCCGCCATCATTCTCACCCAAGAATCCTCATGGATCGTATTGCGGGGCGTATTTCGCGTAGACCAATTTCGTTTTGCGGCTCTTCAAACAGATGCATGTGCCGCCGCGAAGGGGAACCATGCATGGTCCTAAGGGATGTAGCACATGAGAAGCGGCAAATTTGCAATATCTAAGCTGTTGGCACTGGTAAACAAACAATGGGAAAGCCTGGCTCACAAGGCTCCAACGCTCCTCAACCAGCAAACACATTATTCGGATCCTCCTTTCGACGTGGGTAGTACGGACGACTGGAGCCTGGCATCTCGAAAGGCATGATGGTATGGCACTGCAGCTCTGCCGTCGGAGCCTGCAGCTCATAAAAACTGGCGCCCTGAATCTCGTGGCAAGCCGCAGCCATGCACTTTGCCGAGTGGGTAGACGAGGCAAGCTCCAGCCGCCGCCGCCGCCGCCGCCGCCGCCGCAAGAAGGCAAAGGCAAGCAGGCCCGCTATTATAAGCGCGCCCGCGACGGCCCCAACCGCGATACCAGCGGTCGCTCCGGCTGACAGCCCGGACGCCGGTGTGGCTTGGCCGTCAGCGGAGCCGGGAGTGTTGAGCGGGGTGCCCGGCGGGGAGTCCGGCCTCGTTTCTGGGGAAAACAGCCGCTGCATCGCGTCGCTGGACCAGGAGACGGCCCTTTGCCCGCCCTGCGCGTACCAGTCCTTGACCACCTGCGGCGTGCGGTACGCCGGGCGGGTCCCGTCGAAGCCGGCCTTCCACTCGAGGTCCGTCATGTCGTAGACTCCGAGCGCCTGCCTCCAGGGGTCGGGCTCCGTCAGCGACTTGGGGAAGCCGACGCTGCAGGCGGCGCCGCCGACCGAGATCATCTGGCGGCCGTCGGCGGCGCAGGCGTGGTCGCAGCGCGAGCTCGACAGCGCCGACTCGGGGGCTTTGAAGAAGACGAAGCCCGGCAGGGAGAGGATGTGGACGTCGTCCCATGTCGTCTTGGGGTCCGCCTGTATGCCGCCGTACAGGAAGATCTCGTACGTGCCGTTGTCGCCGGCCGCGCCGACGTGACAGAAGCGCTCCCGGCCGGTGGGGCGGCTGCCCGTCGTGGTCTGCCAGTGCCAGCGGCCTTGCTCCGGGTCGTAGATGGAGAGGTTCGAGAAGGAGAACTGTGGGGAGTCATAATCCATGCCGCCGAAAAGGGCGAGCAGACCGCTCGAGTTTGCCCTTGGGCCGAAGGGGACGCTCTGGGCGTGTGACTCGATGGCTATGCCCCTGTCTTTGAGACCGTCGGTCGAGACGTTTTTGAACGTCGTTGTTTCCATGTCCAAGGTGACCATGCCCGGAATCCCGATCCTGCGGGAACCTGTCGTATCGGTGGCCTTGTCGAGCCAACCGCTGACGCAGTATCCGACGCGGTCCGCTCCCCATGCCGACGCGCAGGCTGCCGGTTTTACAAGCGCGCCAAAGCCTACAGCGTCAGGAACCGCAACTTCCGCCCAAGAACCCCGTCCCGCGCCGTCGGCAGCAAATCTCCAAAGCTGGTTCGGCGGAGGGATGGCGTTGTAAACCATGGAGCCGGCCCACTGGTAGAAGGATTTGGTCCGAGGGTCAGGCCAGAACCCCGTTTTTACGAGCTTGGGGACGCCCGCCCGCGACGTCTCTGTCCACTTGGCCGTCGAGTTTGTCCATGATGACTTGAGGCTCAGTGAGAGTGTCGAGTTGACTTGTGGTTGTTAGTCGCCAGACTGGCGTTTGAGTCCGAGGCATGACGAACCTTGTGTAGACGGCGGCTCTTGCACCTGGCCATCGATGAGCCGTGAGACCTCACCTCCGTCGACATACAGGTAGTCACCAAGGATAGTGACTTTGCGATTGTTGTAATGTCAGACTCGGGGCTCAGCGGACAGTGTCATCGGATACGTGATGAACAGCTCAGACTAACCAGAAGGCATGCTCCAGCGGAGGAATCCTGGGAAAGGTTCCGCCATGGTGGCTGAAGGGGCGCTTGATCGAGACAGGGAAGGTTGTTGGGGCGAAGGGAGATGGGGGAGCGATGGAATTACAATGATGGAATCTAGAGCTAGACATGATCTTTGTGAAAGCAAAGAAGGTATACTGACAGCCTGACCTCCATGTGCAAAGCTGCAACAGGGGTTCCTTAAGATTGGAGTTTCAGGCCTTGGCGCCCCCCAAGGGCGCGCTTAATTCAGTTGTCTTCCGTGAATCCTGGCGCTTAGCTCCCCTTGAGCCTAACCGTGGCCTACCATGTTGAGCTAATCATGTCGCCTCATGGCGATCAGCTGTTTGTGCATGGCAACATGCAGGCAGACAACAAGTGCCGGATGGAAGGCTGATGGTGGCGAGAGTAAGCCGGGCGGTCGAGAGCCATGATCGATGTTGGTGAAATGGTGATGGAGATGGAAATGCGCAGCCTCGCTCGATCCAGCCTCAAGTGGTGGGTCCGCGGCAGCTGGAGTGGGTCCACAGCCTCGGAAATTCTCTTCGTGAATTCACACACGTCAACCGCAGCTGCAGCCGTCGAATCCAAAGCGAAGCTATCCCAAAGAATCGAGGCCGGAGCGCACACCGAGCACCGTTAGGCTTGACCGAGACCGTAGGAGCCAGTCTTGTCATGGGGCTGAGGCAATAGGTACGCCGCCCGACTGCCAATGGCCCTGCCAAACCCCCGCCCCCTCCATCGCAACTTCTCCTGAAGTAGCTAACGTGAGAATGTGCCAGCGTGCCACCAGCCCAAAATGCCCCCATTGAAGCTATCCCCCCTCCTCTCAAGCCTCTCGCGAAGCCTCCGAGCCACGACAACACCCATACCAACCGCCACCGCCGCCGCCGCCACCACCACCACCACCCCAAACTCGATCCACATGCAGTCCCGATGGGCGCACTCGACTAACAAGGGCGCCGCGGCGCCGCCCATCCCGGCGCCGATCCCGCTGGTGCCCGACGTGGCGACGTTCCTCAAGGTGATCGGGCGCGGGCTGTCCCAGCACGCATCCAAGATCACGACGTGGGAGGCCCTCTTCACCCTGACGTCGGACCAGCTGCGCGAGCTGGGCGTCGAGCCGGCCCGGACGCGCCGGTACCTGATCGAGTGGCGCCAGCGGTACCGCGAGGGCCGCTTCGGCGTCGGCGGCGACCTGCGCTTCGTGCGCGACGGCGCCGCCGACTTCAAGGTCCTCGACGTGGCCGAGCCGCGCCACGGCCTCGTGCGGGAGCGCGTCGTCGTCAACGTCCCCGCCGGGACGCCCGCCGGCGTGGACGCGGCCGACCTCCCCGCCGGCCACCGCGCGCCCGCCAGGGGGTTCAAGCCCGTCGGCGTCCGGGGCGTCTCGGGCCCCTACGTCCTGCCGCTCAAGGGCCGCGGGGCGGGCGCCCAGCTGACGGTGACCGAGGGCATGTGGGAGAACAAGGTGGGCCGCAAGATCGACGGCGGCGAGAGGCGGCGCGACGAGATCAGGTTCAAGAGGCGCGTCGTCGAGCGCAGGGCCGCGAGGGAGGCTGGCGGCGTCTACTAGCAGGCATGAATGTGTGAGAGAGAGGGAACACATGGTCGGCCGCTTCCCGCGAATCACGCTGTATATCACCAACTCGTTAAAAGCCGTACAAAATACCCGCCCGTCTTGAACGAATCACTAGTGCAGTTCAATGTGCCCAATACAACGTAAAGCACTGTGGAGAAAAATATACAACCGTTGGAGCACCTCAGCGGGTTCTCCATCAAATAAAATACACGAGGCAACATGGGGCCTAGCTCCGTGTGCCATATCAAGGACTACAATCTGGATTTTGACTCCTGCTTCAAAACCAAGCCGCCACCCTGTTCGTCATAATCCCGCCCCTTGACCCAGCCCAGCCAGCTCCCGAGCAGCTTCTCGCCCCCGTCCCCCGGCCGCAGGCTCGCGGCCTCGTAGCCCGAGCCCGGCACGCCCTCGCCCTGGCCCTGCGCGGCCGGGTTCGCGGCCCCCTGGTGCACGGCCAGCAGCGGCGTCTCGCGCAGCCCGACCGGCGGCCGCTGGTCCCCCTCCCTCCCTCCCGCACCGCGCTCCAGCTCCCCAAAGTCCAGCACGGGCGTGCAGCACGCGTCGGTGCCGTCAAACACAGCCTCCCACCCGTCCCTGCCGCGCGTCCTGAAGACGCGCCCGAACTCGGCCCGCATCTCGGGCCACGCGGCCCTATCGTGCTGCCTCGCCTCCCACCCTTTACCCTCGAGGCCGAGCCCGCGCAGCAGCGCCGCGAAAAATTGCGGCTCCAGCGCGCCGACGGCGACGTACCTGCCCCGCTCGGCCGTCTCGTACGTGTCGTAAAAGGGGCAGCCCGAGTCGAGCAGGTTCTCGCCGCGGGGCGCGCCGCCCAGGTGGGGGATCTTGAGGGCGAAGCGCGGGAACGACGCCAGGTACGCGGCGCCGTCGACCATGTTGGCCTCGACGACCTGGCCTCTCCTCCCCCCAGCGGGTTTGCTGTTGCGCGCGGCGAGCGCCAGGAGTATGCCCTGGAACAGCGCGGCGCCGCCGCCGGCAAAGTCGGCGAGGACGTTCCACGGCGGCGTGGGCGGCTGGCCCGCGCGGCCGAGCATGGCCAGCACGCCCGACACGGCGAGGTAGTTGATGTCGTGGCCGGCCATGTCGGCGTAGCGGCCGTCGCGGCGGAAGCCCGTGATGCGCGCGTATATCAGCCCGCGGTCGATCTGGGCCCGCAGGTCGTCGGGCCCCAGGCCCAGGCGCTCGAGCACCCCCGGGCGGAACGGGTCGATGAGCACGTCGGCGGACGCGGCCAGCTCGCGCACGAGGGCGACGCCGCGCGCCGACTTGAGGTCGACGGCGACCGAGGCCTTGCGGCGCGCTAGGAGGTCGGCCGTGGGGGCCGCCGCCGCCGCATCGGGGGAGGAGCGGTCGACGCGCAGGACCGAGGCGCCGGCGTCGGCGAGCAGCATGCCCGCGAAGGGGCCGGGCGCGAGGCCGGCGAACTCGAGGACCTTGAGGCCCGCGAGGGGCGGGCTGGGCATTGTGAGAAGTGGACTATGTGTCTCGGCAGAGTGCAATCTCACGTCGGTGAGGAAGAGGCAGGCGTTGGCGTCTTTCGCGCATCGTGTTGTATCTGTGCTCTCTGCACTGGGTTTAAAAGTTGGGTTGGGGATGTTTGTGGTGCGCCTGGAGAATCCCTGCTGTTCAAGTAATGGGAAAGTGCGGGGAGCCGAGGTTCGGGTAACTGTGGGGCTGCCCCTTCTGTCTTGGACCCTCGCCAGCGCATCAGCCTCCCTGCCCTCGCCGTTGGCCGTTGTGAGCCACGCTATCTTATTCAGCAGCGAGATATGGCCAACCACGGAATTCATCTTACATCAGGCACAATTTGAGCATCGCTAGCCCGGAAGTTGATCAGGCTGCGGCATGTTCTCTCCAAGCCTGTCTGGCCCGGAAGGCCAAAGACTAGCCTTCGCAAGTTATCCCTGCAAACGACATTTTGTACATGTGAAGAACGGTGAGCAAAATTGGGACGAGAAATATTGAAGATCATCTCGGTTGCGAGGCCTCGAGGATGGGACATGGGAATCTTGACCAACCAGTCACCTCAACTATGGCCACACAGGTGTTTCTAGAAAGAACACGGAGTGTTGAAGCAGTTCATGCCATCGACCCGGCATTTCGATACCCAATGAGTCAAATGGATCTGCTGGCGATCCTGACAGGGCCGTTCTCGGATCTGACAGAAACCCTATCGAGGCAGCAAGGCCTACCGCGTCAAGATGGGTTTGATTTCAACACATGTACAAAATCCCAATACAATGTGGCTGTTTACACGAGTCCAAGTCCGAGAAATCCCACAGTATCACCAAAAGCCTAGCTCAAGCCGAGCCTGCCAGAATCTTGCCTATCCCTGGGTGCACCTTTTCCAGCTCCGCCATGATCTCGTCAAACACCCTGACCTGCACCGCGCGGCCCTCCTCGCTGCGCACCAGCGGGCTCTCGGCGCCCTCGACCACGACGCAGTCGAGCATGTACTTTCCGTGCGACTCCCGCCCCGCCGCCGCCGCCGCAACCAGGGTCCGCGACCCGACCTCGGTCGAGCGCCCGACCAGCCGCACGCCCAAGGCGACGATCCAGTCGAGCGGGAAGGGCGCGTGGCGGAACAACTGGGAGCGGCACATGCCCGGGTTGAGCGTGTTGACCACCACCGGATTCCGCTCCGGATGGTCGTCGCCGCCGCCGCCGCCGCCGCCGCCGCCGTCGAGGCGTGCCGCCAACTCGCGCGCGCACATGAGGATCATCACCTTTGACACGTTGTAGCGGTCCGTGTCCATGGCGGCCGGGTCCCTAAACACGTCGAGGATCCCGCCACGGCCGGGCGGCGGGTTGCGCTCGGCAAAGCGCGCAAACTGGTGCGCGTCCGAGCCCACGAAGCTGACGCGCGGCTCGACGTTGAAGCGGGCCGCGGTGCGGCGCATGGACGGGAGCAGCAGCACCGCCATGAACAGGGCGCCGACGACGTTGACGGCGATGGTGCTCTCGAGCCCGCCGTCGCAGGCGACGTAGGTCGGGATGGCGACGGCGGCGTTGGCGATGAGGGCGTCGACGCGGGTCAGGCTCTTGTCGGCGCGCGCGCAAAACTCGCGCACGCTGTCGAGGCTGCCCACGTCGACCTGCCAGCACTCGACGACGCCCGGCGCCCGGCCCGTGCTGGCCTCGATGTCGGCGCGGGCGGCGTCGGCCTTGGCGGGGTCGCGGCAGGCGAGTATGACCTTTGACGCGCCAAGGCGGACGACGGTGCGAGCGGCCTCGAGCCCCAGCCCGACGTTGGCCCCCGTCACGATCACCGTCTGGCCGTCGAAGTTGCCCTTGGGCTGCGGCAGCGGCGTGAGCTGCGACTTGAGGAAGTACCAGGCGTATGATGGGACACTAGGGGTGCCGTTTGTGAGCCTCATAGGCAGCTTCGTTAACAGAGCGAAAAGGCAACTCAACTTACGTGGTGGTGTAGTTGGAGTCGGAGGCCCACGACAGGGCATGCCGCTGCTTTGAGGCATCGCTTTTTGCCTGTTCGGCCATTGCGACACGCTGAAAACTTATGTGGTGGCTACGAGTTGGGCCAGCCGTCTAAGCAAGCGCGTCTAGAAGGAGGGTCGTCAAAAAAAAAAGGGGGGACAGTCGATAAATAAAATGAGTCCAAATCCCAGCAGCACAAACAAGTTCAAGTCAAGACCAGCTTGACGGTGATGTTTCTCGAGACCCAGGAGATGATGGCTGGAAAGAAAGATGAAACATCTGGGACAGAGGTCCCCTGACTGGGTACCTCCCTGCGTAGGCTGTGCACGGATCCCCAGTGGAAGCGTGCCAAGCACCCGGCCTGTAGCGAATCACGAGTGCCAAGAACGATCAAGCACTGGCAACTGCTCGCTAGACCAAGACCTGAGAAGAATTCCTGGCGGTAACTATGACGTTGAAACTCTTTGGACCTCCCAACAACAACGAGAGGAGGATCAACACTCCACAGGCAATTAGCTCGGGGAGACGGTGGGAAAAGCAATTAAAATGTCATATCGTCATTCTGTAGCCTTCTATTACAATCTAGTAGCAACAACAAACTCGGTCAAATGAACATGGCAATCCGACATCATGTACAACTTTTTCGCTAGACATTTGCCCTGATTAGGTCTTGCTCCCTCGTCCCCGAGGGATACATGAATGTACGAACAAAAGATAAACAGGGGGAAGCCACGAGATATTGAGGATAACGGAGAAAAAAGAAGACAACTCCAATCCCCATGCCAAAAGAAAATAGCAACAGGATATGACAAGAAAACTGCCCAGGCAAAAGAACAACCATCACAAAAAGGAGAAGATAAAAACTCCCCAACCCCTTGCGCGAGATTCTGCAAGGCAGGTTACCCTTGATCGTAACAACAAACTCCCACATTTGCCTCCATATCCAGCAAGGTCCAGAACAGCCAGAAAAGAAAAAAGGAATTCGGTAAAAAGCAAACATCAAGACGAGAAAAATCAGAATCAGGCGTCACACACCCACTCGGCAAACACGCACCACCTCGCCGCCCGGTCCGCGAGCACGAGACCGCGCCAGACGCCCTTCTCGCTGCACTTGATGGTGGTCGCCCACGTGCCGCCGTCGCTCATGTCCTCCTCGGAACCGGCCCCGCTGGCGCCACGGCCCCCGACGCCGACGGCGCCACCGCGCCGCTCCTCCTTGCGCATCAGCCGCAGGATCTTGCCGCCGGGCGTCTGGATCGCCAGCTTGGCCGGCTTCTTGCCCGCCACCGCCCCTCCCGTGGCCGAGCTCGGGTTGGACGACCCCGCCGCGCTAGAGCTGGTCATGCTCATGGCCGAGCCGGGCCGGGCAAAGGGTATGGGCGACGTGGCGCCGTTGGGGTTCGAGGACGGCGTCATGGCCGACCCGCCGGTGCCCAGAGAGCTGGGGTGCTGCCGGACTGCAAACACAAACGTGTTGTTCAGCGCCAGCCGTTGGCACTGGGGCTGCACCACATAGATGTCGTGGCGCTGCGCGTGCGGCGTCGGGTGCCTTGTCACAAATTCGTAGGGCGGGTTCTCGCCCGTGTGCAGGACCGGCAGGGCAAACGCGACGGGATGTGGGATGTCCTTGATGCTGTGCATCAGCCCACGCTTGCCCGCGTAGATCTTGAGCACACCAGTGCCCTCGTCTCCCGGCAGCAGTGCCTTGACTGTGTAGCGCTTGAGCCCGCCGACCCAGTCCGCCTGCGCGAGCGCCCGCTTCTTGACCAGCTCGCCCGACTCAAAGTAGTCGCCGTCTGAGTCGCGCGAGTAGGCCCGCACCTCCACCTCGGCCGCCACCTCGATGTCGTCGGGAACGTTGAAGCGCACGTGCACCATCTCGAGATCCTCGATGCGCGTCACCGACGTGTTGTAGTCCATCATCTGGATCCCGGACTGGAAGAAGGGCGGACAGGCGCACGGGAGGTTGAGGAGGATCTCGTGCGCCACCGGTGGGCAGATGTGCTGCTGCGAGTGGTGCTCGGGGATGTGTGTCCAGCACATCTCGCTCGGCCGCGCCAGGAACCACCACGGGTCCGCCGATGAGCCACTGGCGGTAGAGTACTGGGTGCGTCGGGGGTTGGACGGACTTGCCAGGCAACAGTCCATCATGCGCCACTCGTTGTCCACCACGACGGCATTCCACCAGTGGTTGGATCTTGGCATCAAGCCCATCTCGGGCACCTCACCCGGAGACTTGAGGTAGCCGCGCACCACCTCACAGTGCAGGCCTACTGCTGTGCACATCTCCACAACCAGCAGAGCGTATTCTTCCGCGCAGGCGCGCTTGCTTGTGATGACGCGCCTCGTGTCGATCTGGCCCTCGAACTCCTCCTCCCAGCTGATCTTCTCGGCAACCCATGTGAAGATGGCTCGGAGACGCTGCACGTCGCTGCGGTACGGCCGGCAAACGTAGGTTGTGGCGAGTGTTATGGCAGTCGTGGTTGGTGGGAGCCCTCTGATGAACCGTGAGTTCTTATCTACCTGGCTGAGGTTGATGGAGGCGTAGTTGGTCGGCTCGGGCACTGGCCTTCCGTCGGCGCCCTCGTCGCCATCCATACTGCTGTACAGCTCGTCCACGGGGTCCAGGGCGGGGTAATCCATCATGATGCACCGTTCACGGCGCTCATTGCGCTCGTTGCGGCTGAGTGTGTTGGACCGGTTCACGTCGCGGCGAACCTGGACCCAGTCGACGCCAGCGTTGAGATTCATGTCCCTGGCAGCGTCCCTGCCAGAACTAACCAGACCGCCTGCGAGGCCAGAGAGTCCACTCGGCATCGAGCGACCCATAGGACTTGATGAGTGGCCGCCCGCCCCAGCCGCTGCAATGCTGCCTCGCGTGCTTGCAACTCCCGTCTTGGCCGACTCCAGCATCTTCTTGAAGAAGTTGGACTTCTTTGCCTTGGGCTGCGTGAGGCCGCCGAGGCCTCCGATGCCCGCCATGGGATCGTCGTGGATCCCCATCTGCGACTTTGGTCTCGAGTCTCCGGAAGCATGGCTGCTGTGATAAGTGACACCTGTGAAGGGGGTTTCGGGCCGTTCCAAATCCGGGTCTCGCATGCTCATAGCACTTTGAGCCCTTCGCTGTAGGTTCTTCCGCGCGAGGCTTCCGGCGCTCGTAGCGCTGATGCCTCCGGCCGAGACGCCGCTCATCAGGCTGTGGCTGGTGCTCTGGGTCGTTGTGCTCTGGTTGCCAGAGGAGGCGCTTGTTGAGTTTGTCTTGGTGGTAAATGTGCGACCCAGGACTTTTCCAATATCATAAGCCGACTTTCTATGCCGCAGCTTGGATTTGTAGTCCATCTCGGATCCGTGCACACTTCCGCCCATCGACGACTTTGGTCTCTCGTGATGCAGTGCCTTGGGCGGTGGAGGAGGTGGCGTGTCGTCGTCAACCGCACTTGGCGCACGGTTGTGCATGCTGCGCAGCCTGCTCTCCATACGCTCCACGTAGTTGCTCAGCTGCGGAAGCCCAGCTTCTTCTTGGCCGCGCCGACTGTTGCGCGCCTCTTCCATACCTCCTTCCTGCGAGGAGTCACCGCTGTACGTTTCGTAGCCAGAGTCGGCCCGTGGAAGGCCCATGGCCGTTCGTGGTCTCGACTTCGCGCGGACGTGTTTTCTCCGAGATTGTTGGTACACCATGTCAAAAGACTCGGGTGACCAAGGATCTAGTACGGGCTCCGGAGACTCGGTCTGCCGAGGGATGTTGAGCGCGTCCAACTGCTCCATAACCCCATCCATAGCCTCACGTAGTGGTGAGGGTGTTAAGCCACTGCCCCCTCCTGGGGATGGGCAGGGCGATGGTATCCTTGGGGTATGGTATCCGTTGGAAGGCTGACCATGGGACATATTGGAACCTTGCCTCTCCAAGCCACGCTGTGCACCTTGGTCATACGACATGCTTGCGCCGTGCCTCCCCCGAGAGTCATACGACGTATTTGAACCGTGTCTCTCAAGACCGCCATGCGCCCTCTGGTCGTGTGACATAGTAGAGCCATGCTTGGGAGCGACATGCCGGTGCGGCGGGGGTGGCGGAGGCGGCGGCGAGTTGAGGTCGTCGAATCCTTGATCAAACTGCGCATCTTGCGGTACGTGCTCGACTGAAGAGCCTGGGGGTCGGTAAGGTCTATACGACGCAACGGAAGGTGCAGGGGATGGCGCTCTTGATCCAAAGGCCTCGAATGGCGCTGGGCTGACAGCACGCTTCATGTCCTCATATCTCTGAAGCGGCCCTGGGCTGGCAGCTCTCCTCATGTCGTCGTACCTGTGAGGATTCGGGCTAGGCGCTCTGCGGTGGTCATCATAGTGGTGGATCGGGTTCGGGCTGGGAGCCCTCCGACGGTCGTCGTAGTGATGAACCGGATTCGGGCTGGGAGCTCTCCTGCGGTCGTCGTAGTGGTGGGCCGGATTCGGGCTAGGCGCTCTCTGGTGGTCGTCGTACCGGTACATGGGGTTGGGGCTTGCATCTCTTCCCCTGTCGTCGTAACCGCGCAACGGAGCAGGGCTTGCAGCTCTCCTCATGTCCCCATGCCTATGCATAGGAGCAGGACTGACGGCCCTCCTCATATCCTCTTGGCTATGCATCGGCGAGGGGCTCGGCCCTCTCCTCCTATCGTCGTACATGCGCGACGGTGCTGGGCTGGCGGCACGGTACCTATCGTCATGCATCCTAGACGGCGCAGGGCTGGCAGCACGATGCCTATCGTCATACATCCTGGATGGCGCCGGGCTAGCGCCTCGATGGCGGTCGCCGTAGTTGTGAGCGTGGGGCGCCGGGCTCGCAGCCCTGCGCGTCGATTCCGAGGCAGCAACCACTGTCCCGTTGGCCGAGACATTGGAAGTTTCCCGAGACCGCACAGGACTTGCTTGGACAGCGCCGGCCTTGTAAGTTTCGGGTTGCTTTGCGGTGGTGTAATGCGGTGCCTTCGCGTAGGCCTCGAACGGCTTCCGGAACGTCCTGGACTTTTGGGGCGTGTTCTTTGGGCTCGGTGTGTTGCTCTGCGTCAAAGGGCTCGTCGATCTGCTCATGGGATGGAAGTCGGGGGGTAGAAGCTCGACAAAGTTGGATGGAAACAGCCCGACCATGCGACGGTCCCTGCGAAGCCTCCCTGTCCACCATGAACCGTCTCCAGCGTTGAGGCATTCGATCAACTCGCCTTCCATAAAGCCGAGATCTTTCTTGCCCTAGATCGAGATGCAGTAGTGTGAGTCGGCTGGCCCTCGGCTACTCATGATGCTATACATCAGGGGGCCGCGCTTACCTCTCCTCCCCATGAGTATACGGCTCTGCACCAGCAGGGAAACTGCGTGGGCAGAGCTGGCGCTGCGGGCGCCATGGTTATTGCTTTACTTGAAACTGTAAATTCGCAAACCAAGATGGTCGACAAATGTTGATTGGACCTTCTGTGAGGCCTTACGCCTGAGCCCCGGACTCTTCGCGCAGACTTGCCGCGACAGGCAGGTTTTGAGGTAGGCTGGCAGTGATATCGAATAGTTGGTGGCAATGGCGGTCTCGCGAGGACATGTGCGATCGAGGTCTCGGTCTGGGTGCAATAAGACGAGGTCCAAGGGATGCGCAATAACAGAATGCAGCTATGACATAGTATTCGCTCGCAAAACGGAATGCAGACAAACAATCAAGGCACGCAAAGCTTTGAGGGGGACCAGGCTGGCCAACGAAGCGAGGAGGAGGAAGAGGTTCCCTGGTGGATGTTCTCCGGGGATTCTTGAGGGCCCACTCAAGGCCTAACCTGGTGGTTCCGTTGGCGGTGTGGGTTATGACTGGGGGTGGGCTCTCCATTCTGCCCGCGTCGCAGCCCGCCAATGTAAACACTTTTTTTCTGGCGGCGTTGCTACGATGGCAACCCGACGTGGGGAAACGTCCCTTACCTGATTCTGACCATGGCTGGCGACTGGATCAGCCGCCGGGACCTGAACCGGTCGGGTGCCAATAAAAGAGGGGCACGGTCCTGCAGGGGGTGCCCTTGGCAGCCAATAGCTGCACTCTGTCACACCTGTTTGGGGAATGGCTTGCCGCTCACGTTACGCCCCGAGGCCTGCAGTTGGGTGATCTTTGGGGTGAGCTCTTTTTGGAGAGTCTCGACAGCCTTTTTGCGGAGGATTCGGCCTTGCGATGGCGCCGACATGGCACAGGGCGCGGGCTGGCGCAGGGTCTTTTTCTATCTCGACCCCGTGGCAGACCATCGGGCCAATTTCTGGCCATGTCCGGTACGCTTAAAAGGTTCCCCGGGTTATGAGGCGGTGGCTGTTGCTGGCAACGAACCATATTTGGGCATGTTATCACGCCGAATGTTGCGACCTGTTCGCTCAATAACCCCTCTCGCGCATAGACGCAAATACTCGTGCCAGACAGCAACGTCTTAGAGCATTCCAGCAGCTGCCAGCCGTGACGTCGACAGATGCCATCCACATCTCCAAGCGCCCAGCTGCGGTGGGCGCGTGCCCATTTCTGGGGACCTGCAGCAATCGTGCATCGACAAGAGGCCCATCAGTGGAATGCAGCTGTGGCAGACAGCAGCGAGTGGGCCCGAGGACAAAAGACTGACAAGCGCTGACCTCGGGATCGCCTCGCTGCTCCGTCATTCGTGCATGATGCGTTTCGCCAAACAAAGTTCCCATCGTGTTCGACAATGGCCGAAGATTCCCATAGCCAACGATTCCCCAGACCGGCCCAGGCACAGCCCTGCTTGTTCGAGCGACGACCGGGGCTGCGCAAAGCTCCAACCCAGCTGGTCCAGGAGCACAGGGGTTAGACACGGGTTGCCCGGTTGCCAGACCCGGCCCAAGCTCCCATCCCAAACAAAACAGTCGCCGCAGCTATCAAGTACGCAGGAAAAAAAAAAGAAGCGAATTTGCGCATCGCAAACACTCTCCAACCGACAACTCGTGCCCTTTTTTGCGACTCCGTCTGCCCTCCCAGTTCTCCGTCCCTCCACACATCCGCCAGTCTGCATTTTTACCGCGGCGAAGCAACGCAAGCCCGCGTCCGAATTTCCTCACTCATCTCTTGTCTCGCATCCAACCGCGCACTCATCCCTGCCAGCACCTGCATCATCGTGAAGAGTCTGCAGGAAGTGTCTGGGGCGCGGCCCGAGCTGAGATCCACCGGGCAAGATGGCTGTGGACGGAGGCCTGGCGAGCCAGTACCAAGTGCTTGAGGAACTTGGGCGTAAGTGATAGACCACGACCGCCACCGTCGCCGACGAGCTGCTTTCGTCGCATCTTGCTAACAGCGCTGTGGCCATCTAGAGGGCAGTTTCGGTGTCGTCTATAAGGCCATCGACAGGGCGACGGGCGAGACAGTTGCGATCAAGCATGTACGTATCTCACATCCACCCGCTAATGCGTGGCACTTGCTGACGGTCCTTCTCGCCATCAGATTGACCTGGAGTCAAGCGAAGATGACATTCAGGAGATCCAGCAGGAGATCTCGGTGCTGAGCACCTGCGCCAGCTCCTTCGTCACCCAGTACAAAGCAAGCTTCTTGCGGGGGCACAAACTATGGATCGTCATGGAGTTTCTTGGAGGTGGCTCATGTCTCGATCTGGTACGTACAGCGCATCTTCTTGTATTTGATGTGAACTATGCGCTAACCTTGGCATACAGCTGAAACCTGGCAACTTTTCCGAAGGCCACACCGCCATCGTGTGCCGCGAGCTCCTCCGCGGGCTCGAATACCTGCATGCCGAGGGGAAAATCCACCGCGACATCAAGGCAGCCAACGTGCTGTTGTCGGACCAGGGCAGCGTCAAGCTGGCCGACTTCGGAGTCGCCGCCCAGTTGACCAACATCAAGTCGCAGCGAAACACCTTCGTTGGCACCCCATTCTGGATGGCCCCTGAAGTTATTCAGCAGGCTGGCTATGACTTCAAGGCCGACATTTGGTCGCTTGGCATCACCGCAATGGAGCTGGCCATGGGCGAGCCCCCCAATTCGGACCTCCACCCCATGAAGGCCCTCTTCGAGATCCCGAAGAAGGCTCCCCCGCGTCTGGAGGGCAACTACAGCAAGGAATTCAAGGATTTCGTCGCGCAGTGCCTCGTCAAGGACCCGGAGCGAAGGCCAACTGCGAAAGAGCTTCTGAAACACAAGTTTATCCGGCTTGCCGGCAAGATTGAGGCCATGCAGGAGCTCATCGAGCGGAGGCAGGCATACGACGCGCAGAACAACCGCAAGTCCCACCCCGTCTACTACCAGGAGACCCTTCAGTCCATCCCACCAAGGGACGACTCGGACGAGTGGGTATTCGACACGGTCAGGTCCGTCGCGCCTAAGAAGGCGACGGTCCGGCAGCGTAAGATATCATCTGTGTGGGCAGCAGAAGACTCGATGCGACGCCTCGACATCAAGGACGGTCCTTTGCAGCCTTCGTCTCCGGGTGCTCCGACAGGAACGGTGAGGCGCAATGTCGTCAAGCGCCAGTCGTCGTCAGCGTCTCAATACCCCTCCATGAACCATTCACCACATTCATCCATCATCGTACACAAGCGTCCTCTGCAGCCGGACCTGTCATTTGGAAATAGCGGTTCCACAATGCGCCTGTTCCGCCGCGTGCCCTCGGACGGCTCCATCCCAGACATCGCCACCGATTCCATCAACTGTGGCAGCAACAACGAGAACCTGCCCCCCTCCATGGCCTCCGGGCCGGTCGAGCCCAGCACCAAAGAGGGCGTGCTCGGCAGGCGGCTCTACAACAAGGCCATGGAGCCAACCATGGCCGAGCTGCATGCCCAAACCTCGACACTGCAGAAGCGCTCGGCGCTCGCCAACCTCGCAGACGCCCTGTCCTACCTCGACGCCGTTGACCCGGACGGCATGCTCCACTTCCTGCGCAGCATCAACGCGGCCGCCGCCCAGGACCCAAAGCTCGCCGCCGCCGTCCTGCCCGCCACCCCGCAGCCCAAGGCCCTCCAGCACGCGCGCGACGGCACACCCTCCTCGTCGACCCGGCCGTCGTCGCAGCACAGCGCCGTCAGCAACCCGAGCAGCGCCAGCACCAGCCCCACCAAGCTGCAGCTCAGCGGCGCCAACCCACACCTGCGGAGTCAGAGGCGGCGGCAGAATAGTAGCCTCGCCCCCTCGGCTCTGGCCCTGACCGGTGACGCCCAGCAGCCCGCCGCGTCCTCGCCCGCCGGCAGCCCGACCAAGATGTCGGCGCTCGACCGCGAGAGGATGCATGACCTGCAGAGGGCCACGCTCCGCTCGCGCGGCCTGCCGGGCGGGGGCAAGGACCCCAGGCCCGGCATGGAGCACTACAAGCAGCTCTCGGACGTGCTTTATGGTCGCTGGGCGCAGGGCCTGGCCACGCGCTTTCCGGCCTCGAAGCCTCAGCAAGACGACACATGAGACTGGTCGATGTGGTGATTCTGCTTTTTTTTTTTGGGGAGGTACCGAAACTTCTTGGCTACATGCCTCGGCCGCCACTGTGCAAGAAGCTCAACGGGGTGTATCAACAGGACGGCACTCGGCCAAGGCCACAATGGGCTTGCCGAGTGCCATTTACCAAACTGCAGCGACGTCCAAGCGAGCGCATAATATCTGCCACCTTGCCACTTGGCGCATAGAGTCGAGGTTGTCTACTCTGCGATGCCTTGGTTGTCATTTGGTTTTTTCAGCGCTTCTTTTTTCCGGGATTTTCTGGCTTTCTGCTCCCATTTTCATGTCCTTTTTTTCATTGCTGTCTCTCATGACGCTGAAGACGCAATGATTCCACGGTTGTCCTTTTGCTTTGATCATCTCCGTCGGTCAACTAATGTGCGTCATGTCAGAGGGGGGGATCTCTGGGGCTGGGAAAGGGGAAAGATACCGATCAAAAGGGTTTTTGATTTCTCTGCGTGGCGTTCTTCCTTCCCTATTTGTACAATTTCCTTGCTTTCCTATTTGGCCATTTCTTCTTGGCTTTGTTCAGATAGCTGAAACAGAGGTCCTGCTTGGGCCAGCATTTTCCTCACGGCATACCTGCTCATGTGCTTCCATGTCCAAATATCCGAGTCTGCTTTAGCTCGCCCGGCTCATCACTCAAATTGCCCCTAGTGCCTCCCTCATGATCAGAGAATGGGTGGGCACAAAAACAAAAACCGCCGCAAATCCCAAATCCCAAATCCCAAATCCCACACCGTACGAGACTCATACAACCGTTCCTTGGGTGTATTGTAAACCAAATCAACTCTGTACGCCTCTGTTCCTCGTCCCATTTTCATTTACCGTTGGCCTCCCCGCCGCTTTCTCCAGCGTCAGGCGGAGGAGGCAACGAAAGCTTTATCCTCCAGTTGATAAACTCGTCCGTCAGGATCTTGCCGTGGCCCGTCTGCTCGACCTTGAACAGCCCGATGCTGTTGGACCTGGGCTCGCGCCGTATGCGATAGACGCCGTCGTCATCCACGCTTGCGCGGATCCCT